TTTGTCAAAGATGCCAGAAAAAATAAAGATTTTAGTTTTGCTCTGTTACTCTCTGCTACCTGCATTTTTTTTCACTTGTAGAAAATTTTGGAGCTTAGGAGTACGTTTTTGACGGTAGCTGTTGTGTGCTGCTACACTCCTTGTAGGATTTTGAATTCCTAATCCTTGCATTTGCCTTACATCTGGTTGGGTTGGCCTACTGGGTTATCAGCTAGTTGGCATTTAAGAGCAAAGGATGACGGGACTTGCTCAGAAGTATTTTAAGTAGGAACATAAAAGTTTTGACCTGCTTTCATTTGTAATTCTGTTTTTTTCTTCCGTTAGTAGTAGGATGTATCTTGGTCTGCGAGGGCCCGTTGAGTTTTCATTCAACACTAGCGAGTAAAGGACGGGGATGCTCTTCAAATTTCATTTGTACTCGAATCATTAATTGTTAAGAAGTAGCGGTTGAATCTACTAGTTTTTCATATTGTAATCATTGTTTTTCAGGTGAAGAGTAGTGTTAATGGTGTTGATTGAGGAATTAAAAAAAATGAGAAGGGTTTTGAAAAATGCACATATTGCAAAGGAGGTTGATATTTTTTTCGTTTTGGAGTTAACAAAAAGCTGTATTTTTGAAAAATGCTCTAGTTTTTACTTAATGTTGTCTGAGATTTCGTGGGGTTTTTACCTCTACTTCGTATCAATTTGACTAGATAGTTTTCTTGATTAGTTATATGGGTCGCTAGGCTTTTCAAACGTTAGAGGTGATTTCTTCTCGGTTTTCTTTTGAAAAGGTTGAGGTTTTTTGCTGCTTTTTTAGTACGTTACGGCTTCAGTATTGTCCGAGACTAGTGAAAAAACTGAATCAATCTTGAAGTACTGTGTTGAAATTGTTTCGGTTGCAAATCTAGTTTACACGAATAATGGAAACCGCTTTTGAGTGCAGAAAGTAGGGACGAAAAGGCTAAGTTTTTTATGCTTGCCCGTTTTGCCTAGCAAGTTTGACGTCGTCTCCTTAACTCCTGGCGTTTCAAAAAAGTAGTTAGGAGTACAAATAACAAGTTTAGACTTTTGGCTTTCTAGTATTTCTAAATTCGCAATGTTCCGCCAGTTCAAGCATTTCAAATTTTTATTTGTTAACATTAAATTCGTTTACATATTTCTTGGTAGCTGTATTTCAAAATAAAGGATTATCAGCCATTGTTTGAAAGATTGATTCGATTGATACCAGTCTTGGGTGGTGGCTGGTGTTTAGATCAAGTTTTTATTTTGAAGGTGGAGTAATTTGCTTTAAAAGATGTGATCGGTTACAAATGCTTAACTGGTTCATTGACGGCGGTTTATTTGTGAAATGAAGAGTGACTCGGGAGTCTAGTGATTTTAATAGTTGTTTATTGCTAGTAGGTTATTGAGCAAGTTATCGCTAAGGTCTAAGTTGTTTACTAGAAATCGTTAAAAATCACAAGAAGGTGATTGATGTTGTTTGCAGATGCTTGTGACACCGGAAAGAGAGAATATACGTGTTATCAAAATGCTAAGCACGCTCTCTCTAAAGTTTAGTTTCAAAACAAGTTAAGTTTACGTTTCGATTAATGACTGCCGTTGTGTAAAAATGTTTGACATGTTTCTAGCGGAATTGGAATTTTGAAGGCTAACGTCGAATGTGGAGGACCTGTTTTTTTTGACAATATTTTTGATTAAGAAGTGGATTACTGAACTGTTTGAATTACCAAGTATATCTTATGGGACGGATGATTGTAGAGAGAATAGAAGTTTGAAGCTTATTATCCAGCGGCAATTTAGGTTGCAGAAAATCAGGAAAACATGATGAGTGGGTTCTTACATTTACACAAATCCTTAAAATACTAAAAGCGAGGACTTCATGAACTATCTAAATTGCTTGCAATACGGTTCTGATTTAGAGGATGATTAAGTTTTTTTAGTTCACCAATATATATTTTTTGTTTATTAAAGCTTTATGAAACTGGAACTAGGGGAATTCTTAAAAAAGTTTTGTGTATCACTATTAGCACAGTTTCTTGGGTTTTTATTTAAAATCCGTTTGGAATTCTGGTGACCTTCATTTGGGAGCACAACTAGTAAAGCTAGCTAGAACAAAATTTCCGCTTAATTATCCTATTTGTTTCTGGTTAGCAACTAGAGCCTTTGAAGATGACCACTAATATATGGCATCTACTTCAAAGGCACCAAGCAGGAAGTTGGCATAGAAAACCGGACGTATGTCGGAAAATTTACTATTGAATTATTAATGTTAGTCGCATTCTCGGATTTCTAAAATTCACTTTAAACGAGGAGGAAAAGGTTGCTAGAAGGTTTGTTCTCAAAGGCTCCTTAGTACTTTTTGTTTTTGACGTCGTGGTGTTGCTAAATAGGTGATCGCGAGTTTGATTTGAATAAATTTCAGGAGAGCGTGACTTTCAAGCGGTTTCGAAGAGAAGTTTAATTCTTTTTGAATGGGCAGGAAGATTTGTTCATTTATGCTGAAACGATGTGAAAGTAGGGGATTCTGAAGTGTACTGGATAGGAACTATGGGAGGCGTGAAGTTAAAAGAAGTGGAATGAGAACTGAAACTTTTTGCAGTTCTGAGACTTTAAAGTGGTAGTTGGTTTCTTTTGTCGATGAGACAAAGAGAGGGGATTTCCAAGAGGCACGCAGTAATTAACTGAACAGTAACCAGAAAATTAGCTTATTAGTTCTATTCGCAGGAAGGTTCCTTTATTTTGACTCGCAATAAAGGGTTATAAACAAACAGAGGGTCCATCCAGAAATGGAAGTCAGTTTCTTGACATATTTATGTTAGGTTTTGTAGTTCTAATGTTTCTATTTTTGTTTCTATGCTTGTTTCACCTTTTTATGAAAACTACGAATCATTCATAGTTTAAAACTTCAAATTTGTTTTGCAAAGTGTAGGTAAACGTCTCAAACGGCTTTTTTCCAAAGCAAATTGTTTTACTTATAGATTTTAATTTGAGACAGAACCTGTTTCTCAAAAATGTCAAATGTGAAAGAAACTAGCTTTTTAAGGGACAGAGCAATTTCATGTGACCTGTCTGTCTTACGTTTACCTATCACGGAAATAAATTAGCGATATGATGTTATTTTTTACCATAAATCTGACAGTTTTCACAGCAAACTATGACTGTAGATAGGGAGGTATTGTTCCTTAGTTCCTCCTTTTGTATCGTCGTTGATAATCTGTCTTGCTAAGTTTACTCATTCAACTATCTTATCAGGCCTTTTCCAAAAAAAATTTCGCAAAGAATTTTATACTCAGCTTAATGTTTGTTACTTTTCTTGACTGGCAAACAATTGCGTAAACATTAAGTTCGCCCCTGACATGTTTTTGATAATCATTTGTTAAATTAATTACTTTTACTGATTGGTAATTCTGTTTTTTTAGTTCCATTTTTTTGTTTCTTTTTTCACTGCAGTTTTTTGTCAGCCTGGTTCGGTCTGTTGTGAAGATCTGTAGATACGCATTTTTAGCTCAAGTGGTGCAACAAATTAAAAATTAACGAAATGGGTACAAACGATCAGCTGCAATTGAAAATTATTGTATGGGTTCAAAAAGTTTCGAATCATAAACAACCATTTTGGTTTTTTATACGGGCAAAGTATAAGTTAACAGTATCGAGCAAATCCAGTTAAAAAATGCTTGTAAGTAAAATAATAGGTTACTGATAAGAAGGCGGCAGTAATAACGGCGTCTAGAAATAAAGTTTAATCAGTGTTTACCTAGACAGAGTTTGCATGTTCTAAGTTGGTCACAGCAATTTAGTGCCTTTATTCTTCATTTCTTCTTTGCGGCTTTGACTCAAGTCATTACGACATCAGTTTCTAATTGGGATTTCATGGAACAACAACAGGACAGACTTCTTTCAACTACAGGTGAAATTATTTGGAAAAATGTTTGGGAGACCGTAATTAGGACTCTTTCTTACGACACTAAGGGTTGTTTTGCGACACCAGTATTTTCTTCATCGCAAACCAAGTTAAGAGAGTCATCTTTTTTTGAGGCTTTATCGGTGCTGGTAATAAAATATCTTTAGCAAATGTGCTTTTTTTAGGAATTTCAATATGACTTTTATTTTTTTGCTGTATTATGTGCGAAAATCATATGCAACAGAATCAAAGATGAGATTTAGCTAAAACGGTTATTTTATTCGCTTAAAGCAGGACAGTTCTATTTTAGAAATGTTCTTCTTTTGCTAGCTAAAAATTGAATAAAATAAAGCTTTATTTGAATTGTTTTGTAGAACTGAATAAATATTTTATATCATCTAAATTTTTACAGTCGGCATTCTAAAAATTCTATCTGATATTTGAACTGAAAGAAAGCTATAGGTTGGTGTTCGAATTTTCCTTTTCAAATGAATCTGAATAAAATAATTATCTTATT